CAGCCCATCCTGTCCCCACCATGATGCACATGGCCTTCAAGCTCCCAAGTGTGGAGGTTGAGGAGGAAAAGAAAGACGAAGAGAACATCCCAGCACCTGGTAACGTCCCCCATGGGGCCATCGGCAGAGAATTTGTCCCTCAACGAGCTCGGGGTGCCTCAGGTAGGTGTAAGGCTGCCCAGGGGCCAGCGGGACTGAGGATATGGGGGTGGTCATGGTGGAGCATCCTGTGAATGTGTCTGCCCTTGGCCTAAATCATCTTCCCCCCATCTCTGGGCAGGGCCCAGCTGGGCTGTGAAAAGCTCTCCTAGCAGCTCTTTTAGGGTGGGGACCTTAATGGCAGCTCTCAGCTGCCTCTTTGATGATGGGGCTGGGTGTGTTTTTCCCCTCTAAGAGCTCTCCTGCCTGCAGGCTCCCAACCACGAAGGCTGGGACTGGATCCAAGTTCCACTGACCCCAGAGAAGTGTTAGTGGAGACAGCGACGTGGACTGACCCTGCAGAGGTGGGCTTGGGGGGTCTCCTGCAGCCAAGCAGTCCCTGTCACCCCACGTTGGTCCCCTAAGCCGGGGCGGTGATGGAGCTGGGGGGTTGCAGTGCTGTGCTGCTCTGCTTGCAGGTCCCCGTGGAACCGGGTGCTGCAGCAGCTCCGGTCCCCACCATGGTGCTGAGGGCCCGGAGCGAGGCCATTGTGTGTGGCATCTGCATGGACCGGGTGTATGAGAAGCCACTGCCAGAGGAGCGGCTCTTTGGGATCCTCCCGAACTGCAGCCACGCGTACTGCGTGGGCTGCATCCGCAAGTGGCGTCAGAGCCGGGACTTCCAGAGCGCGGTCATCAAGTGAGTGGGGATGGGGACATGGCAGGGTGGTCACCATCACCCCTTCTGCACCCTGAAATCCTTCCTTGGGTCTGGCTATGTGGCTTTGGGATTGGAGTGACCTTCCTTTAGGAACAGGAACTTGGGAGCTGTGGTGGGGGATGCTGGATGAGGCTGTGGCAGTGGGACCACCCAGCATGGGTGCTGAGCCTGTGCTCCCTGCTCCCTTTTCGAGAGACCCACCTGCATCCATTGCTTTCACCCAGGGCCTGCCCAGAGTGCCGGGTCACCTCCAGTTACTACATCCCTCACAAATATTGGGTCTCGGATGTGCGTGAGAAGGAGAAGCTCATCGAAACCTTCAAGGCACGGACAGGGTGAGTGCGTGGCACCACGGGCCGCAGGGCTGCGGGCTCTGTGCTGCTCTGGGACCTGCTCTCCTCACAACTGTGCTTTGAATCTCACAGGAAAATGAGGTGCAAGTTCTTTGTCCGGAACCGTGGTCGCTGCCCCTTCAAGTCAGATTGCATCTACTTGCACGAGCTGCCCGCTGGCCAGCTGCCACGGCACAGGCGGCAGCGGCCAAGGATGCCCGTTGTAAGTGGGGTGGTGGGGCTGGGGCACTGCATGGCCGTGCACCGTGGCTCGGGGCTTGGGCTCATGGTATCTCCTGTGCTGCAGGAGTTCAGCCCTTCTTCCTCGGAGAGCTCTGACGAGGAGGACGAGGAGTTCTGCGTGCTCGAATGGGCTCTCACCCTGGCCCTGATGGACGCCGACTTTCGGTACTCGAGTTATGGCCACGAGATGCTCTTCACGGACTTCAGTGACTCTGACTAAGCCATGGGGTGCCCCATTGGGCCTGGGGGTGTTGTTGGTGGCGAGGAAATGTCTCCTGGGAGGGGGAAGCATCTGCTTTTGACGTGTTTACCTGCTCCTGGTGTTGGCTCCAGGCATGGATGGTGTTGCAGGGGTGGGATGGGGAAACTGGCTGGTATTTATCAGCCCCCCTTGTGTCGATGGCTGAACCCCCAGCAGATCTCGTACCGCTGCTCCTCCCAGGAAGCTGGGGGGTGGCAGAGATGCAGGGGTCTCGGGCAGTGGGGCATAGCCCCCTTCCTCCTCCTCTTGCCCTCGCCTCCTTTGTGGTGCGGTGCTCTGCACCCATGGGAGACCTCGCAGGAGCTGAGGCGGGGGCTGAGGGGCAGCAGGGGGTTTTAACAGACACGGGGGCTGTGGTGG